TACTGTAACGTATGCGACTTTAGCTGTTATCTGATGGCGAACTCGGACAGGTTTAAAGGAGTGAGCGACTGCTGGAAATGAAGCGTTTGCCGGTGTGTGGGAACTGGGAACAGTAGATTGCCAGTGTGTGGGAACTGGGAACAGTAGATTGCCGGTGTGTGGGAACTGGGAACAGTAGATTGCTGGTGTGTGTTCGGGGAAGTTAATGTCGCCGGTCTTCGATTGGGACGAGTTCGTCACGCATCATCAGTTCCTCCTGTCGGGATAATATTGTTTATTCCCCTTATAAAGCTGACAGGAGGACTGAAGGACAAACTCGGTCATTTGAGAGTTTTATAATTAAAACACATGGTGAAAATCCAGCGTTTAATGTTGTTTATGTGTCTATGTGGTGTGTTTAATACGCTTTAAGACACACCATGTGTAAGTTCATAAGTCGACAGCATTGCTGAGTATTTTCTGCTTAAAACTGCAGTGAACCAAAGACAGTCTCAAAAACACGGGTTGAAATCGCTGGTGTTTCTGACGTCACAAACGACCTTGTAACCAATCAGATCAACGTGTGATCGTCAACCAGTGGATCTCTGAGCTGAGGGAGTGAGTGGAGGCGGGGCTCATTTGCATATTCATAGACCCGCGAATACTAAATGGGGCAAGGGTGTCGAGTTACATTCAAGATATTTTAAGTCATGAAGACTTGACAAAAATAATGTAATTTTGCTGATCAAAGATGAGTTTTAAGGGATACAATTATTGATTCTACACACGGTGAGATATGGCGTCGGTCTGTGTCTTCGTTCAGAGGTCAACATTGATCCAGGGGTTGCATGTGCTAAATTTATGTGTAATAAACGGAAAAAGTCAATATTCAATTAAAATGACTATTTGGCACTGCAATATAACCTCAAAGGGAGACGGCATCCCGACAGACAGAACACTAAACAGTTCGGCAAATATATGGCTTTTACACGTAGATATAAGCTATAGTGATGAACACTTCGTGAAGCTTTACGAACCATTAGTTTGGAGCCAGTGATTCTGAGCGCGTATCAAACTGCCACAGTCACGTGACTGCAGTAAACGAGGCGTCGCTGCGTCATAGCAGGGCGGGGACTTGAGATTAGACCAGCCGTAACAACATTTACCGGCCATGAAACTGTTCTTGCAAAAACTGCTTAAAATACTACACTCTAAAAATGCTGGGTTGTTTCAACCCACGTTTGGGTCAAATATGGACGAACCCAACTCTTGTGTTTGAAAGTTTTATTTAAAAAGTCCAACCAACGGTTGTCCATATTTGACCCAAACATGGGTTGAAACAACCCAGCATTTTTTAAAGTGTAGCCTATCTAATATCTAAACATTATTAAAGACAAGTAAACTGTCATTATAAATAAGAACAAATAAAAACAATATAACAAAGATACAAGTGAAATAAGCAGTGGTTTTCAGGTACAGAAATTTTATAAAGTAGCCTAAGCAAATGTAAAGAAAAAAAAAAATCTTCGCATATTCTTTACATTATAAATTAATGATACATTACCATATCAATTAATCCTTATTAAAGATATTCAGTCAAGAGTAATGAGTGATTTTTTCTTTGTCCATTGGTGTTTAATTAAAGTAGCCCTGTAGTTAATTATTTTATCCCTTAAACCTCGACACCCTTGCCTCATTTAGTATTCGCGGGTCTATGAATATGCAAATGAGCCCCGCCTCCACTCACTCACTCACTCACTCAGAGATCCACTGGTTGACAATCACACGTTGATCTGATTGGTTACAAGGCAGACTGATCTCATGAAATGGCGTATGTATGACACGCCAATTCGTATTTCCATTTTTGGCGTGCTATCAACACGCATAATCGCTTTTCAGCGTGTTTATCAACGCCTTTGACTTAACGTCATATTACTGTATTATGCATATATAAATATATGACCTACCCCAACCCCGTCCCTAAACCTACCCGTCACTGGGGTTAATACCATTTATGAGTCTTCTCCTACCATCCTAGGAAAAGAAATATCGCTCCACAGATGTAGATATAGATTTTGCTTCGTTTCGCTCGGACATTTAACGGCGTAGACATACACGCGGAATCACTCGGACATTTAATGGCGTAGACATACACGCAAAAGATTTCGGCGTGGACATACACGCGGATATTTCAAAATGCGTATAGATAACACGCCACTTGAATTGAAAGTGGCGTGTATGTTTACGCAAAGTCATGATGTCATGTTGTACAAGGTCGTTTGTGACGTCAGAAACGCCAGCGATTGCAAACCGTGTTCATGAACTCGCCGTCGCTGATTTCTCCAGTCTCACGGCGCTTGACGAGTGTTCGTCTCAGGCTCTGGTCATAACGCTTTACAAACTGAATACATTTATAAGCACAGACCGTGGAATCAGCTTTTTATTACAGAAATTTAATTTAATCATCAGTTCTTCAACATTGACTTTACACACACAGACACGGAGACCTAAGAGCCGTAGTAGCGCAGGACTCTGTCATCCGTGGGTTTGAGGATCTTCCTGTCGGCCATGTTGACGACCCATCCGGGAGCCAAGCCGAAGAAGATCTGCCGCGGGTCCTTCCTCTGCGCCAGCATCTCGAAGTGCTCGTCCGCGCCGACGTCCGGCAGCCGGTAGCCGTACTTCTGCGCCAGACGCACGCGCGCGGCCCGCACCTGAGCCGGGTCCGACAGGTAGCCGCGGTTACTGGCGTCGGTGTAATACGGCAGAAGCTCCTCACCGGGAAGCAGACGCTTGGGGATCGGCTCGCCAGACATGAGGAAGGGCACGGGCTTGATGAGGACTTCTGGAACACACACACACACGTATACACACACATACACACACACACGTATACACACACATACACACACACACGTATACACACACATACACACACACACACACGTATACACAAACATACACACACGTATACACAAGCATACACACACACACACACACACATATACACACACGTATACACAAACATACACACACGCGCATATAGACAAACACACACGCCCACACACGTATACACAAACATACGCACACGTATACACAAACATACACACACGCACGCACACACACACACACATACACACACAAACGCACGCGTACACGTATACACAAACATACACACCCGTATACACAAACATACACACAAACGCACGCGTACACACACATACGCGTACACACACATACGCGCGCACACACACAAACATATACACACAAATATACACAAACAGACACATACACACACACACGTATACACAAAAATACACACACACACGCACGCACGCACACACACACACACACACACACACACACACACACACACACACACACACACACACACACACGTATACACAAGCATACACACACACACACATATACACGCACGCACACACACACACGTATACACACACACACACACACGCAAGCACCCACACACACGTATACACAAACACACACACGCACAAACACACATACACACACACGTATATACAAACATACACACACGCGCACGCACACACACACACGTATACACAAACACGCACACGTATACACAAACATACGCACACACACACACACACACACACACACACACACACACACACACACACACACACACACAAACACATATACACAAACAGACACACACAAACATATACAAACAGACACACACAAACAGACACACACATACACACACACAGAAATCTTATCAGTACGGGTTTGATCTATCCCAACGATGCTCCCATGAGCCTCTGGATTGCGATAAACGCATCATATCAAGAGTGTGTGGAATATCACACACTGTGTGGCTTCACAGTTCTGCAGTGCATCTTATTTGACATGCATTGGTAAATCAATTATATTTTCACTTGATTACATTTTAAAAGCTTAATTAAATTGTTTAAGTTTATATAAAAGGTGCTCCAGAGATCGACACACACTACGATCGGGAAGAGTCTTCTGCTCACCAAGGCTGCATTTATTTGATTAAAAATACAAACAAAAAACAGTAATATTGTTAAATATTATGACAAACTAAAACTGAATATATAGTAGGGGTGTAACGATTCGTTTTAACAACGATTCGATTCGTATCACGATTCGTGGTTGTCGATACGATTCAAGGACGATATTGGTTCATTTAGAACGATACGATCCAAATCGATTCAGTGACTTGAAATCGATTCAGTAACTTTTTAGCCAAAAATTCAACCAGTGTGACTGAAATAAATACCTTACTGGACAGTGCGGGTAAAGTTTCCTAGATTCATGTTTCTTGTAAGGGAATCAATCAGGTATCAATTAATTCTAGATATAAACTAGGGCTGCATGATTTGGGGAAAATGTCATATTGCGATTATTGAGGTCAATATTGCGATATGCAATTGCGATATAATAAACAAATGATTTCATGAGTGAACTTGCTTGGTTCTCAAGGAAAATGCACACACAGATTAGTGATGCTGAAATGTGTATTTCTCAAACTTGTAACAACAACTAGATGATTAATAACACCTATAATGATCAATAAGCCATTGATGTCTGGACAAAAATGTCTGGACATTCCTGTCTAACAGGCAGGAGATACAGATATTGAATTAAGTTCAACAGTCTGCGCTGCAATTGCAAACATTATACATTATAGAATAATCCGTAGACATACACGCGGAATCACTCGGACATTTAATGGCGTAGACATACACGCAAAAGATTTCGGCGTGGACATACACGCGGATATTTCAAAATGCGTATAGATAACACGCCACTTGAATTGAAAGTGGCGTGTATGTTTACGCAAAGTCATGATGTCATGTTGTACAAGGTCGTTTGTGACGTCAGAAACGCCAGCGATTGCAAACCGTGTTCATGAACTCGCCGTCGCTGATTTCTCCAGTCTCACGGCGCTTGACGAGTGTTCGTCTCAGGCTCTGGTCATAACGCTTTACAAACTGAATACATTTATAAGCACAGACCGTGGAATCAGCTTTTTATTACAGAAATTTAATTTAATCATCAGTTCTTCAACATTGACTTTACACACACAGACACGGAGACCTAAGAGCCGTAGTAGCGCAGGACTCTGTCATCCGTGGGTTTGAGGATCTTCCTGTCGGCCATGTTGACGACCCATCCGGGAGCCAAGCCGAAGAAGATCTGCCGCGGGTCCTTCCTCTGCGCCAGCATCTCGAAGTGCTCGTCCGCGCCGACGTCCGGCAGCCGGTAGCCGTACTTCTGCGCCAGACGCACGCGCGCGGCCCGCACCTGAGCCGGGTCCGACAGGTAGCCGCGGTTACTGGCGTCGGTGTAATACGGCAGAAGCTCCTCACCGGGAAGCAGACGCTTGGGGATCGGCTCGCCAGACATGAGGAAGGGCACGGGCTTGATGAGGACTTCTGGAACACACACACACACGTATACACACACACACACACACACACACGTATACACAAACATACACACACGTATACACAAGCATACACACACACACACACACACACACACACACACACATATACACACACGTATACACAAACATACACACACACACGTATACACACACATACACACACACACGTATACACACACATACACACACACACACACACACACACACACGTATACACAAACATACACACACGTATACACAAGCATACACACACACACACACACACACACACACACACACACACACACATATACACACACGTATACACAAACATACACACACGCGCATATAGACAAACACACACGCACACACGTATACACAAACATACGCACACGTATACACAAACGCACGCACGCACACACACACACACACACACACACACACAAACGCACGCGTACACGTATACACAAACATACACACCCGTATACACAAACATACACACAAACGCACGCGTACACACATACGCGTACACACACATACGCGCGCACACACACAAACATATACACACACATATACACAAACAGACACATACACACACACACGTATACACAAAAATACACACACACACGCACGCACGCACACACACACACACACACACACACACACACGTATACACAAGCATACACACACACACACACATATACACGCACGCACACACACACACGTATACACACACACACACACACACACACACGCAAGCACGCACACACACGTATACACAAACACACACAAACACACACACGCACGCACGCACAAACACACATACACACACACGTATACACAAACATACACACACGCGCACGCACACACACACACGTATACACAAACACGCACACGTATACACAAACATACGCAGACACACACACACACACACACACACACAAACATATACAAACACATACACAAACATACACACACACACGCACGTATACACAAGCATACACACACACATATACACGCACACACACACACACACGTATACACGTTTACACAAACATACACACACACACACACACAAACACACACACACATATACACAAACAGACACACACAAACACACACACACATATACACAAACAGACACACACAAACAGACACACACATACACACACACAGAAATCTTATCAGTACGGGTTTGATCTATCCCAACGATGCTCCCATGAGCCTCTGGATTGCGATAAACGCATCATATCAAGAGTGTGTGGAATATCACACACTGTGTGGCTTCACAGTTCTGCAGTGCATCTTATTTGACATGCATTGCTAAATCAATTATATTTTCACTTGATTACATTTTAAAAGCTTAATTAAATTGTTTAAGTTTATATAAAAGGTGCTCCAGAGATCGACACACACTACGATCGGGAAGAGTCTTCTGCTCACCAAGGCTGCATTTATTTGATTAAAAATACAAACAAAAAACAGTAATATTGTTAAATATTATGACAAACTAAAACTGAATATATAGTAGGGGTGTAACGATTCGTTTTAACAACGATTCGATTCGTATCACGATTCGTGGTTGTCGATACGATTCAAGGACGATATTGGTTCATTTAGAACGATACGATCCAAAACGATTCAGTGACTTGAAATCGATTCAGTAACTTTTTAGCCAAAAATTCAACCAGTGTGACTGAAATAAATACCTTACTGGACAGTGCGGGTAAAGTTTCCTAGATTCATGTTTCTTGTAAGGGAATCAATCAGGTATCAATTAATTCTAGATATAAACTAGGGCTGCATGATTTGGGGAAAATGTCATATTGCGATTATTGAGGTCAATATTGCGATATGCAATTGCGATATAATAAACAAATGATTTCATGAGTGAACTTGCTTGGTTCTCAAGGAAAATGCACACACAGATTAGTGATGCTGAAATGTGTATTTCTCAAACTTGTAACAACAACTAGATGATTAATAACACCTATAATGATCAATAAGCCATTGATGTCTGGACAAAAATGTCTGGACATTCCTGTCTAACAGGTAGGAGATACAGATATTGAATTAAGTTCAACAGTCTGCGCTGCAATTGCAAACATTATACATTATAGAATAATCCTTATTAAAGTTACAAAAGTTATTTAGTCAAGAGCATTGAGTGTTTTTCTCTGTTCCCTTTGTTCTTTGATTAACTTTAACGACAGAGATAATTAGTGGCCACTGTGTACTGTCCCTTTAAGACCAGCCGCTGACAGAGACGCAGATCTCACACGCGCCTCATCATTCTCTCACGAGTCACAACTCTTTACGGCCATCGTAAGACTGCTCTCGTGTTAAGATACTGGACAAAAAGACATTTTGGCATAATTGTGTGTGTTATTGTTCGTTCAAGCGCGAAAGAGAGCTGTATTCTGGCGTGCTGTCTTGTGCGCATGCACGATACTGGCGCGAGTCTTTCTCTGTGTGTGTGTGTCACAGTCAACGCGATCTTTTTTGTCTTGTCGCGAATGAATGACTGAATCGAGTAACGTTTAACGCCTTTATCATTAAAAGTGCTAAGAAAAAACATCCAAAGACTGACCTGCTTAAATCCAATGCGTTATTTCCTAGTATCGATAAAATCGATTGATTACCTTTTAAAACGATGTTGGATCGATATATGTCGTCCGGAAGGCCAACTTGCCGAGCACAGATCGATGTAGTTGGATCATAGGAATATAAATCGATTCATCGATGTAGTAGATGAATCGTTACACCCCTAATATATAGTAAAGTGTAATTTATTCCTTTTGACAGGTAGCGTATATTTCATTGCGATCTCGATATGATGTTGTTTATCGCCCTCTTGGGCTGTAATGGATCTGTGTTGCACTGAATCAGGGTTAGCATTAGCTGAATCAGGGTTAGCATTAGCTGAATCAGGGTTAGCGTGGGGTTAGCATTAGCTGAATCAGGGTTAGCATTAGCGTATACTGACGGAGGCTGCGCGGGTCGTAGTAGCTAGTCGTGATCACGCCGCCGTTCCTCTCGACCGCAGCGATGGCTTTCTCTGACGCCACCTGCACCTCCAGGTTCACCTTCGCACAGAATATATCAGCACCCTGAAACACACACACACACACACACACAGACACACACACACACACACTTCAATGAAAACCACCTGGATGAATAAACAGTGCTTTACAGAAGTTCATAGGCCTTAAACTCGAGCTTGATCCCAGGCGGCTTCAGCACAGCGGGATTGCTTTAATGACCGGAAGAGTTTGATCAGGTGACATGAGCTGCGTCCCAATCCACAGGCTACAAATACTTCACACTCTCTCACTCACACTCTCTCACTCTCACACTCTCTCACTCACACTCACTCTCGCACACACACTCACTCACTCTCGCACACTCGCTCACTCACACACTCACTCTCGCACACTCACTCACTCACTCACTCACAGACACTCACACACACACTCGCTCACTCTCGCACACTCACTCACTCTCGCACACTCACTCACTCTCGCACACTCACTCACTCTCGCACACTCACACTCGCACACTCACTCACTCTCGCACACTGGCTCACTCTCGCACACTCTCGCACACTCGCTCACTCTCGCACACTCGCTCACTCTCGCACACTCGCTCACTCTCGCTCACTCTCGCACACTCACTCACTCTCGCACACTCGCACACTCACTCACTCTCGCACACTCACTCACTCACTCTCGCACACTCACTCACACTCGCACACTCACGCACACTCACTCACTCTCGCACACTCACTCACTCTCGCACACTCACTCACTCTCGCACACTCACTCACTCTCGCACACTCGCTCACTCACTCTCGCACACTCACACACACTCGCACACACACACACACTCACACTCGCTCACTCTCGCACACTCACTCTCGCACACTCGCTCACTCTCGCACACTCACACTCGCACACACACTCACTCGCACACACACTCACTCACTCTCGCTCACTCACGCACACTAGCATCACTTTCGCACACTCGCTCACTCACTCTCGCACACTCACACACACTCGCACACACACACACACTCACACTCGCACACACACTCGCTCACACTCGCACACTCACTCACACACACTCGCACACACACACACACTCACACTCGCACACACACTCGCTCACACTCACTCACTCTCGCTCACTCTCGCACACTCACTCACTCTCGCACACTCACTCACTCTCGCACACTCACACACTCTCGCACACTCACTCACTCACTCTCGAACACTCTCGCACACTCGCTCACTCTCGCACACTCGCTCACTCTCGCACACTCGCTCACTCTCGCACACTCACACTCACTCACTCTCGCACACTCACACTCACTCACTCTCGCACACTCACACTCACTCACTCTCGCACACTCACTCACTCTCGCACACTCGCTCACTCACTCTCACTCTCGCACACTCACTCACTCTCGCACACTCACTCACTCTTGCACACTCACTCTCGCACACTCACTCACTCTCACTCGCTCACACACTCTCACTCGCTCGCACACTCGCTCACTCTCGCACACTCGCTCACTCTCGCACACTCACTCGCTCACTCACTCTCGCACACTCACTCTCGCTCACACAATCACTCTCGCTCACACACTCGCTCACTCGCACACTCACTCACTCACACACTCGCTCACTCTCACACACTCGCTCACTCACTCTCGCACTCGCTCACTCACTCTCGCACACTCACTCACTCTCGCGCACACACTCACTCTCGCACACTCACTCACTCACTCTCGCACACTCACTCACTCTCGCACACTCACTCACTCTCGCACACTCACTCACTCTCGCACACTCACTCACTCTCGCACACTCACTCACTCACTCTCGCACACTCACTCACTCACTCTCGCACACTCACTCACTCACTCTCGCACACTCACTCACTCTCGCACACTCACTCACTCTCGCACACTCACTCACTCTCGCACACTCACTCACTCTCGCACACTCACTCACTCTCGCACACTCACTCACTCTCGCACACACACTCGCTCACTCTCGCACACTCGCTCACTCTCGCACAGTCACTCACTCTCGCACACTCACTCTCGCTCACACACTCACTCTCGCTCACACACTCACTCTCGCTCACACACTCACTCACTCACTCTCGCTCACTCACTCTCGCAAACTCATACACTCACTCTCGCACTCACTCACTCTCGCACACTCTCACTCACTCACTCTCGCTCACTCACTCTCGCAAACTCTCACTCACTCACACTCGCTCACTCACTCACACTCGCGCACACTCGCTCACTCACTCTCACTCTCGCACACTCACTCACTCATTCTCGCTCACTCACTCTCGCAAACTCTCACTCACTCACACTCGCTCACTCACTCACACTCGCGCACACTCGCTCACTCACACTCACTCTCGCTCACACACTCACTCTCGCTCACACACTCACTCACTCTCGCACACTCACTCACTCACTCTCGCACACTCACTCACTCACTCTCGCACACTCACTCACTCACTCACTCACTCTCGCACACTCACTCACTCTCGCACTCTCGCTCACACACTCGCTCACTCACTCTCGCTCACACACTCACTCACTCTCGCTCACACACTCACTCACTCTCGCACACTCACTCACTCACTCTCGCACACTCACTCACTCACTCTCGCACACTCACTCACTCTCGCACACTCACTCACTCTCGCACACTCACTCACTCTCGCTCACTCTCGCTCACTCTCGCACACACACTCGCTCACTCTCGCACACTCGCTCACTCTCGCACAGTCACTCACTCTCGCACACTCACTCTCGCTCACACACTCACTCTCGCTCACACACTCACTCTCGCTCACACACTCACTCACTCACTCTCGCTCACTCACTCTCGCAAACTCATACACTCACTCTCGCACTCACTCACTCTCGCACACTCTCACTCACTCACTCTCGCACACTCACTCACTCACTCTCGCTCACTCACTCTCGCAAACTCTCACTCACTCACACTCGCTCACTCACTCACACTCGCGCACACTCGCTCACTCACTCTCACTCTCGCACACTCACTCACTCACTCTCGCTCACTCACTCTCGCAAACTCTCACTCACTCACACTCGCGCACACTCGCTCACTCACTCTCACTCTCGCACACTCACTCTCACTCTCGCACACTCACTCACTCTTGCACACTCACTCACTCACTCTCGCACACTCTCGCTCACACACTCACTCACTCTTGCACACTCACACACTCACTCTCGCACACTCACTCACTCGCTCACTCTCACTCTCGCACACTCACTCACTCTCGCACACTCGCTCACTCTCGCACACTCGCTCACTCTCGCACACTCGCTCACTCTCGCACACTCGCTCACTCTCGCACACTTGCTCTCGCACACTTGCTCTCGCACACTCGCTCACTCTCGCACAGTCACTCACTCTCGCACACTCACTCTCGCTCACACACTCACTCTCGCTCACACACTCACTCACTCACTCACTCTCGCACACTCACTCACTCACTCTCGCACACTCACTCACTCACTCTCGCACACTCACTCACTCACTCTCGCACACTCACTCACTCACTCACTCACTCTCGCACACTCACTCACTCTCGCACTCTCGCTCACACACTCGCTCACTCACTCTCGCTCACACACTCACTCACTCTCGCTCACACACTCACTCACTCTCGCTCACACACTCACTCACTCTCGCACACTCGCTCTCGCACACTCGCACACTCGCTCTCGCACTCACTCACTCTCGCACACTCTCACTCACTCACTCTCGCACACTCACTCACTCACTCACGCAAACTCTCACTCACTCACACTCGCTCACTCACTCACACTCGCGCACACTCGCTCACTCACTCTCACTCTCGCACACTCACTCTCACTCTCGCACACTCACTCACTCTTGCACACTCACTCACTCACTCTCGCACACTCTCGCTCACACACTCACTCACTCTTGCACACTCACACACTCATTCTCGCACACTCACTCACTCGCTCACTCACTCACTCACTCTCGCACACTCACACTCACTCACTCTCGCACACTCACACTCACTCACTCTCGCACACTCACACTCACTCACTCTCGCACACTCTCACTCACTCTCGCACACTCACTCACTCTCGCACACTCACTCACTCTCGCACACTCACTCTCGCACACTCGCTCACTCACTCTTGCACACTCATACACTCACTCTCGCACACTCACTCACTCGCTCACTCACTCACTCTCGCACACTCACTCACTCTCGCACACTCACTCACTCACTCTCGCTCACTCACTCTCGCACACTCACACTCTCACTCACTCACACTCGCTCACTCACTCACACACGCGCACACTCGCTCACTCACTCTCACTCTCGCACACTCACTCTCACTCTTGCACACTCACTCTCGCACACTCTCGCTCACACACTCACTCACTCTTGCACACTCACACACTCACTCTCGCACACTCACTCACTCGCACACTCGCTCACTCACTCTCGCACACTCACTCACTCTCGCTCACACACTCGCACTCACTCACTCTCGCAAACTCACTCTCGCTCACACAATCACTCTCGCTCACACACTCGCTCACTCTCGCTCGCACACTCGCTCACTCACTCACTCACTTTCTCTCGCTCACTCACTCACTTTCTCTCGCTCACTCTCGCACACTCACTCACTCACTCTCGCACACTCACTCACTCTCGCACACTCACTCACTTTCTCTCGCACACACGCTCACTCTCGCTCACACACTCACTCACTCTCGCACACTCACTCACTCTCGCACACTCACTCACTCTCGCACACTCACTCACTCTCGCACACTCACTCACTCTCGCACACTCACTCACTCTCGCACACTCACTCACTCTCGCACACTCACTCACTCGCTCACTCTCGCTCACACACTCGCTCACTCACTCTCACTCTCACACTCACTCTCGCACACTCACTCACTCTCGCACACTCACTCTCGCACACTCACTCACTCTCGCACACTCACTCACTCTCGCACTCTCGCTCACACACTCGCTCACTCACTCACTCTCACACACTCGCTCACTCTCGCACACTCGCTCACTCTCGCACACTCACTCACTCTCGCACACTCACTCACTCACTCACACTCTCGCACACTCACTCACTCTTGCACACTCACTCACTCACTCTCGCACACTCTCGCTCACACACTCACTCACTCTTGCACACTCACACACTCACTCTCGCACACTCACTCACTCACTCTCGCACACTCACTCACTCACTCACGCACACTCACTCACTCACTCTCGCACACTCACTCACTCACTCTCGCACACTCACTCACTCACTCTCGCACACTCGCTCACTCACTCTCACTCTCGCACACTCACTCACTCACTCTCACTCTCGCACACTCACTCACTCTTGCACACTCACTCACTCACTCACGCACACTCTCGCTCACACACTCACTCACTCTTGCACACTCACACACTCACTCTCGCACACTCACTCACTCTCGCACACTCACTCACTCACTCTCGCACACTCGCTCACTCTCGCACACTCGCTCACTCACTCTCACTCACTCACTCACTCTCGCACACTCACTCACTCTCGCACACTCACTCACTCACTCTCGCTCTCTCTCGCACACACGCTCACTTTCTCTCGCACACACGCTCACTCTCGCTCACTCTCGCACACTCGCTCACTCTCGCTCACTCTCGCACACTCGCTCACTTTCTCTCGCTCACTCGCTCACTTTCTCTCGCTCACTCGCTCACTTTCTCTCGCTCACTCGCTCACTTTCTCTCGCTCACTCGCTCACTTTCTCTCGCTCACTCGCTCACTTTCTCTCGCTCACTCGCTCACTCTCGCACACTCGCTCACTCTCGCTCACTTTCTCTCGCACACTCGCTCACTCTCGCTCACTCTCGCACACTCGCTCACTCACTCACTTTCTCTCGCACACTCGCTCACTCTCGCACACTCGCTCACTCTCGCTCACTCTCGCACAGTCGCTCACTCACTCACTTTCTCTCGCACACTCGCTCACTCTCGCACACTCGCTCACTCTCGCACACTCGCTCACTCTCGCACACTCGCTCACTCTCGCACACTCGCTCACTCTCGCACACTCGCTCACTCTCGCACACTCGCTCACTCTCGCTCACTCGCTCACTCTCGCTCACTCACTCACTTTCTCTCGCTCACTCACTCACTTTCTCTCGCTCACTCACTCACTCACTCACTCTCGCACACTCACTCACTCACTCACGCTCACTCACTCGCTCACTCTCGCACACTCGCTGACTCTCGCACACACGCTCACTCGCACACACGCTCACTCTCGCACACACGCTCACTCTCGCACACACGCTCACTCTCACACACTCACTCGCTCACTCTCGCACACTCACTCACTCACTCTCTCACTCACTCACTCTCTCTCGCACACTCACTCACTCTCGCACACTCACTCGCTCACTCTCGCACACTCACTCACTCTCGCACACTCACTCGCTCACTCTCGCACACTCACTCACTCACTCTCGCACACTCACTCTCTCTCGCACACACGCTGACTCTCGCACACACGCTCACTCTCGCAGACTCGCTCACTCTCGCACACTCACTCTCGCACACTCGAGGGGCGGCAGTGGCTCAGTGGTTTATGTAGGTTGTCTGCAAACCGAAAGGTTGGTGGTTCAATCCCCAGTTCCACCTGACCAAGTGTCGAGGTGTCCATGAGCAAGACACCTAACCCCGGCTGCTCCCAATGAGCTGGATGGCGCCATGTATGGCAGACACCGCCGTTGGTGTATGAATGAGTGTGTGAATGGGTGAATGTGAGGCAAATGTAAAGCGCTTTGGTGGCCATTGGGTCTGTGAAAGCGCTATATAAATGCAGTCCATTTACCATTTTACCATTTACCATTCACTCACTCACTCTCGCTCACTCACTCACTCACTCTCTCTCGCACACACGCTCACTCGCACACTCACTCACTCTCGCACACACACTCACTCTCTCACACACACTCACTCACTCACACACTCACTCTCTCACACACACTCACTCACTCACACACTCACTCTCTCACACACACTCACTCACTCACACACTCACTCTCGCACACTCACTCACTCTCTCTCGCACACACGCTGACTCTCGCACACTCACTCACTCTCGCACACTCACTCACTCTCGCACACACACTCACTCTCGCACACACACTCACTCTCGCACACACACTCACTCTCGCACACACACTCACTCTCGCACACACACTCACTCTCGCACACACACTCACTCTCGCTCACACACTCACTCTCGCTCACACACTCACACTTGCTCACTCTCGCACACACGCTCACACTCACTCTCACACACACTCACACAAACGAACCTCGTCAGTGAGCTGGACGCCGTGGTCTCTCTTCAGAGGCTGGATGGTGACTCCGCGGCCGTTGACCAGTTGGGTCAGATCGATGGGCAGTGTTGGGTCGATGCGACCCAGATCGATGAGGTACTGGAGCCTCCGCAGGGATAGAGGGGGATACTGCGGCCGGCGGCTGGAACACACACACACACACACACACACACAGATCAGCCTACGGAAGAGAGTGTGTGTGCAGCGGTACACAGCATCACCGTTATTAGTGGAGGAACGGATCCCAAAATTCACGGTTCGGATCAGCAAAAAATAAATGGGGGGGGGGGGGTAACTTTGCTTTTCATTTATTACTTAAATCTCACTTGAAGTTCTTCGATAGCACATCAAAACTACTAGCCTAGTTGATAAAGTTCGAACATTTGTGGACAATCAGTGATAAAATAAGAACAAATATAAAAAAATAACAAGCAGAGATGAATACAAATAACAAAGAAACAAACTCTGACAGCGGTATTCAGGTACAGAAATGAATAATTAAGCCTAAATGTAAAATAACACTATTTGTTCACTGTAGAAATTAAATATAGTTTCATCTTTGTTGAAGCTGTATTTTGTTGTTTTATTAACATTAATGACAGACAACAGCAGGAATATTAGGCTGTTGTCACTTTAAGAGCGAATAAACTGACAAACATCCGGTTTGTGTGTGTGAGTGTGTGTGAGTGTGCCCCGATTTTCGGCTCTTCTTCCGCGTTTAAAATTATTTGAGTGTGTAAATGGCAAGACAAAACACGTACAAATGATAAAGTTTCACTCTATAATGGTTAAATTTAGCAGTTGATCCGCGAATCACCGCGTGCCGACCGCGGGGAGCTGAGCGTACGGTTGCACCGCTGACCGCTTTACCTGTGATCGGCGTTGTATCCGTATTTGGGGATGATGAGGTAGAAGGGGGTCTGGCCGCCCTCGAAGCCCAGCCGCGGCCGGTTCCCTCGCTGCCGCTCGCCCTTGTGACCCCGGCCGCTCCGGTTCCCTCCGTGAAGCCCTCGGCCCCTGCGCTTCTCCTGTGCGGAAACAAGACGCACAGCTCAAGGCCGAGGAGGTGCGGGGAACACACCGAAGGGAGCGCGATGCTCTCTAGTAGAGCTGCACGATTTTAATACATTTAAAATTTAAAAGGTTTAAAGTCCCCCTGTAGTTTATAATTTTATACCTTAAAACTCATCTTTGATCACCAAAATTACATGTATAAATGTTTTTTCCTTAAAATATCTTGAATGTAACTCGACACCCTTGCCTCATTTAGTATTCGCGGGTCTATGAATATGCAAATGAGCCCCGCCTCCACTCACTCCCTCAGCTCAGAGATCCACTGGTTGACGATCACACGTTGATCTGATTGGTTACAAGGTCGTTTGTGACGTCAGAAACACCAGCGATTTCAAACCGTGTTTTTGAGACTGTCTTTGGTTCACTGCAGTTTTAAGGAGGAAATACTCAGCAATGCTGTCGACTTATGAACTTACACATGGTGTGTCTTAAAGCGTATTAAAAACACCACATAGACACATAAACAACATTAAAAGCTGGAGTTTCACCACAGGGCGACTTTAACAGACAGATATCGTCTAAAAATTCACAAATCAAGATAATTAACTGGACATACAAACTGACAAAATATGAAGTCTTGTTTTCTGTATTCAAAATAAAGTGACTTTGTGGTTAAAATGAGAATAAATATCTGCCAACGGGCTCAGAAAAAACTTCAAAGGGAAGTTTCTATAACTCATATATATTTTTTGCTAGTTTTCTTCTGCATTTTTGCATCTCAAGTAACTGTCTTGATTAAAAGAGATTTGGATATTTCTATTGGACAAAAATACTGAGGAAGATTATTTTTCATGTCACAACTTTATGAATGTAAGACTTTCTCACTAAATTTAAGGATAATTAATCCTTCATAAATGTCCTACCTACAACGACTACTTTCATTATAAAACTTATAAGGTAATTTTAGAATATTATAAGAGCGTGTCTCAACTCCAGTTTTGAGCATCTGATCATGCTAGCACGCTAATCATCTCCATTATATCGCCTCGCAGAACAAACTCACATCTTTCTTCGCGCCGGGATTGGGTCGCAGGTTTGCGAGTGTAACGCGAGGCAGATTCTTCACGATATCGATGGTTTTCCCCGCTGTTGTCTTGCTCACAGACATCATAGAGCAGGAGAAATGCTAGTCAAGGACAGGTGACATGGGGAGGCTCACGTGGTGCGAAACCCGGAAGCACATCCGAGAACGAACAATAATAAAAGTCACATGGCATATTTGGATTCACTGAAATATCGGTTAAAACTAAGTTACAAACAGTAGTAAACTGTGAAAAATAATTATTCACCATTAATTGTGACGCACCATCATAAATTATTATGCCACAAGGTTGAGGTGTATTAATAATGTTAAAAAATAGAACTTCCAATAAAATTGTTAATGTTTCAATATTTCTGCAATCGTTCACGAACTCAGTTCTAAATAACACTCGAATCATCAGATGAATAGTATAAAATTATGATCTATAATAAAATGGGCAGCATTTACACTAGGGTTGCAGGTTCTGACCTTAAACCTCACAGGAGAAACGAAGCTTTTCGTGAAGCTTTGAATCAATTGATTCGCTAAATGATTCGCTGTTTCGCTGATACGCTGGCGACCCCTGCTGGTCAGAACAGTGTAAATGCAGCGAAAACTCAGTCAAAACATGCAGAAAAACACCCTTTAAAAACAAACTGAAATGTTTCATTGAAGCTGCCTGTCATCTATTAAATGCAATTAACAAATATATATGAAGTATCTCTATAATATAAGTTATTGTATTATATTATAGGGCTTGTTTCGTTTGTTTTATTGTGAATTTGGCTAATCAAAGCAGACTTTTAACTACAACTCTTCCTTTTTATTATATAATTTGTCATTAAATGTTTCATTATGTCTACAAATGTATAAAACTGATCAGAGATCAGGTAAAATCCATAGACTGTAAAAAGGTAAAATCATAGACACTGGTTCGTGGGTTCACGGAGACCATCACCCCCTAGTGATGACGTACCGAAGACTCGTTTACTGAAATCACGTGACTTTGGCAGTTTGATTCGCGCTCCGAATCACTGATTCAGAACAAATGATTCACAAAGGACCCGAAGCTTTATGAACCGAAAGCGCCCGTCAGTGAGTGAGTGCGAGGCAGAGTCATTACTGTTCCCGTGAGCTGTTGACATTGAAGTTCTCTGTTCATGAATACAACAAAGCTGAAGGACTTTTACGCGCGCTAATAACATGTCAGCGATCGTTCCCGCCGCTTGTAAAGCAACGGCTGCTGTAAGTGACGTCATCAGCGCTATATTGCCCTCAGATTTTGGGGTTTAAATGTTATATATTTTTAGCTTGTTGTGTGTTCCCCCTCCAGGTGATATTCCTCCACGGCCTGGGAGACACAGGGTAAACCGTATCACGATTATGTGTCATGATTGAATGCAGTCTAGATGAAGTTTTTGACCAGATTGTGCTCTCCTCAGACACGGATGGGCTCAAGCTCTGGCGGCCATCAGGGCTCCTCATGTCAAGTACATCTGCCCTCATGCGTATGTAATAAACATACATTTTTATTTATTTAGCACATTGTCATATGGGTCATTCCTGTTATCCTGTACCACGTGACCTGATATTTGCCTTTGTATTATTATTACACCTTTGCTGTAAAATGCTTGACCCCCAGAATTATTACATTCACACTTTTACATTTAACTAAGAAGTTGCAGTATAAAGGAAAAACTGTTAATAAGGAATATTATACAAATGATGATGAAGGCATATTAAGAAAGAATATTAACCCTCTGGTGCTCTTCGCATGAGGGTCAAAAATGACAGAAATTTTATTTGTTTTTTCAATTAAAGGACATTTTAATTTTTAGGGGATTTTATGGTTCTACATTATATTTACACCGTATTTATAATCCATTTATTCATGTTTTGGACAAAGCTTCACAAAATGAGCAGGATGTGTCATAGACGAGGTAAAATCTGTAAATAATTTGTAAGATATTTCTTTAACTTTATTCGTTAAGAAAAAGTGCAGCCTATTAGTGACCAGAGAAAGAAGCGGTTTTTAATCAGTCGATTCGCCAAATGATTCGCTGTTTCGCTGGCGACCCCTGCTGGTCAGATCAGTGTAACTGCAGCGGAAACTCAGTCAAAACATGCAGAAAAACAGCTTTTACAAACAAACTGCAGTTTCATTGAAGCTGTCTATCTATTAAATGCAATTACCAAATCATCTGATAACACTAAATATGACTTTGGCAGTTTGATACGCACTAATCACTGGTTTAAACAAATGATTCACGAAGCGTGTTTCGAATCCATCCATTAATGTCACCAAAAAGATTATTCCAGATATGGTGGAAGGAGTTGCAAAGTAGAGAGGTCATACTTATATATAGAAGGCCCTGCACAGGACTGACTCTATACTTACTCTTTCTTTCTTTCTTTCTTTCTTTCTTTCTTTCTTTCTTTCTTTCTTTCTTTCTTTCTTTCTTTCTTTCTTTCTTTCTTTCTTTCTTTCTTTCTTTCTTTCTTTCTTTCTTTCTTTCTTTCTCATGTTGTTGTTTTCCTCTAACTCACCATGAAAGTCCAGTCCTGCCGGTGTCCCTCAACATGAACATGGCGATGCCTTCCTGGTGAGACACACACACAACTCTACAACTACTCACACAGCTCTACAACTACACACACTCCTCTACTCTACAACTACACACTCTCCTCTACACACACACCTCTGCACCTACTAAACACACTTCCCTGATGTGCTTCTTAGGTTTGACATTATTAGCCTTCACCCTGATGCCGAGGAGGACGAATCTGGCATTAAAAGAGCTTCTGAGAGCAGTTGAGTATAATATAAACTAGCGCCAGAACAACTGAATGCTGAATCCGCCATTACACGTGAACGACTCGAATGTGTCCGCAGTCAAACAACTGATCGATGAAGAAGTGAAGAACGGGATCCCGTCTCACAGGATTGTGTTGGGAGGCTTTTCTCAGGTGAGGCCAATGTCTCTCTCTCTCTCTCTCTCTCTCTCTCTCTCTCTCTCTCTCTCTCTCTCTCTCTCTCTCTCTCTCTCTCTCTGTTTACAATGACTCCGCCCAGCAGTGTCTGATTGGTCCAGATGAAATGACAGAAGAAACCTGTCTGATAACAGGAGAATTAAACATTCATTTTCTTCTGAGACTTTCAAGCTATAACTCTAAAACTTGGCTCAGACCTCCAGACTGTTCTGACTCGCGTTACTGTCTCTTTTCTAACCGATCCGACTTACGCTTTTCCTAAAATGATGATTAAATGGAAAAATCCTATAGACTAACATTGACGAAAACTTACAAAAATGTCAGCAAGATGCTAAAACATGCTAGGGATGTATTAATTTATGTTAAACTATGCTATCAAGATGTTGAATCATGCTAGAAACATAATGGCAATGTGCTAAATCATGCTAGCAACATATTAAATTGTGCTAGCAGTGTGCTCATTCATGCTAGAAACATGTTAGCGTGCTAAATCATGCTAGCAAAGTGCTATAACACGTTAGCTAATGCTGAAGCATACAAGCAAAGCAATGTGTTAAGTCATGTTAGAAACATGCTAGCAACATGTTAGCACCATACTAAATTATACTAGAAACATGCTAAGAATATATTATATCATGCTAGCAATGTCTTAATTTCGGCTATAAACATGTTAATGTGCTAAATTCTGTTTAGAAACATGCTAGCAATGTGCTAAAGAATACTAGCAACACGTTAAAACTTGATAGCAATGAGCTGATTTGTGTTAGCAACATGTTAAATCATGTTAACAATGTGTTAATTCTAAAAACATGCTAGCAAGAATCTAAAACATGTTAGCAACATGCTAAAACACCCTGCAACCTGTCTGTCGGTCTATCTTTTTTTTGATGGACTTTATTGCCTTCAAAACGGTTAAACTTCAATCTTTTAAAGCTTCTTCACACTATGTGTGTGTGTGTGTGTGTGTGTAGGGTGGAGCGCTCTCCCTCTACAGCGCGCTGACGGCGCGGCAGAAGCTAGCGGGTGTCGTAGCTCTTAGCTGCTGGCTGCCCCTCAGGAACTCGCTCTCTCAGGTGGGGGAGTATATCGATCTCACAGCGTTACAGAACACATCACTGGTGTGAATCACATGGTTTAACACCTGTTTAACTACAATCATATTCCTGCAGTTTATCAGGGCATGTTATTAAAAAATGTCTTCATAATCTTATATCAAACTGTAATAACGTCTATCACCTCTGAAACTTTTCTTTTATTCTAACGCCACAGTGTTAAATCACCCTTATATATGTAGCGCTTTATACGATACAGATTAATGATCAATGATGCACACTTTAATTCTGCTGTAAAGAAGCGGAGTACGATGAGCTGCGAATGCCGTTTAAAGGAGGAGCTCACTTCAGAATTAAAATCTCCTGATAGTTTACTCTCCCGCACGTCATCCAAGATGTTCATGTGTTTCTTTCTTCAGTGGAAAAGTCAAGTCAAGTCAAGTCAAGTCACATTTATTTATATA